AAAGAATTAACTTGTGAGTAAAATAATAACTGTTTGTTTGTTTGTTTGTTGTTTGTTTGTTTGTTTGTTTGTTTGTTTGTTTGTTTGTTTGTTTGTTTGTTTNGTTTGTTTGTTTGTTTGTTTGTTTGTTTGTTTGTTTGTTTGTTTGTTTCTTTGTTTGTTTGTTTGTTTGTTTGTTTTTTGTTTGTTTGTTTGTTTGTTTTCAGATTTACATTGCAAAAACCTTTTGTGGTTTTTCTTTTATTTTGGCTAAGGCTGGATAAAAAAAAAATAAAGTTTGGTAAAGGATTAAAGATTCTTGGTCCACAATTTGTCACAATCCATCCATAGCTGCATTAATCAATATGACTTGTTTAAAATAAATTGTATCCATCCTACATGAATTGATTAAAACATATAAGTTTCTCTTGGGGAAAGCCAAATGTTGAGTGACATTGCTAATGATTTGTYGGCTATGATTATACAAAAATATTCACAGAAAATCATTAATTGGATTTGTTCATTTGAACCAAAGAATCCAACAGGCTCTGACAAACCATTTGTTAATGCTGAATCGTTGTTATGACTTAAACTAAAAAAAAATGTATATAACTTTTTTTTGCTTTGTGTGAGGTTTGCACTTCCACTGTATGGAAAAATGTACATAATGTGCTTCAAGCTGAAAAGGGCTCATTTTGGTTCCAGTATAATGAATGTCTATTGTCAGCTCATTATCATAAATCTCCTTTAAGAATATTCACCCATGCCAAATTCMTTTCCCATGATGGCTGTATCCAAGTCTCCCTTTATTGCATTTTTTTCACCTCTTCCTCCACTCCCTTCAGTTTAATTTATTGTCATTGTGAAAAGGTTTGTCACTCCCAAGTAGAGCACAGCCCATTATCATAAACAGGCTAATAAGTAACTTCACACATTGTGTGCAAAGCAAAGCACACTCAATATGCAAACTCGAAATGGGCTGTTAAAGAAACTAGTGCCGAGTGATTGTATTTGTAGTTTAATTTCCTTGGTCATACAGAGATAAGAGGAGGGAGAAGCTGGCAAGAAGTGAATAGAGGCATGAGAATGGAACTACAGCTTCATTGTCTGGACTGAGATGTCCAAGACAACACTACTTACGGACAAGGTTACTGCCTGGGAAACACGGTCGATGTACAAATGTTTAAATTGAAAGACTCAAAATAAAATTTTAATTAAAGCTATGAACAAAAAAATGAATGGGTGACTTGTGCATGCAAATAACGAGGACCTATAATTCTAATTTCAATAAAGTTTGCAGCTCTGGTTCCACCTTTAAAACAAGAAAGTCTGAAGCTCAAATCTTAACAGGAGCCTTTCTGAGTGAAAGTTTCTCCCTCTACACATGTGGGTTTTCTCCAGCTTTCTCCCACAGTGCCAAAAACACACCTGTTAGATAAAGCGCTGACTCTAAATTTACCCTTGAAGTGTGAGCGCGTTGCTTGTGGGTTTCAATGCGGCGTGTATTCCATCTCTGGCCCGACGACCGCTGGGAAAGGCCAGAGTTCCCCGCAACTCTGAACGAGACAAAGTGGGTACAGAAAATGGACGAAATGTGCAAGTGGTTGTGACAGCACCTGAATATAAAGTGCTGAAATGGGATCTATAAACATGAAAGGGAGTTTATTGCAAACAATACAACATKTACATATAGTTGTGCTTATCTAGACCAAGCAGTTTTCTAACACTAACTCTTAAATATTACCCCATCGTGCTGTGAATCACAAACAAACCAAGAAAATAGGCTTCTTAGCATCATGTTTCTGTGTCAAAATAGTGCATTTTACCCCTTACTCTCAGTGCTGTTTTCGCTCATATTCAACCCTGAAGAGACAAAACTGTGTTTGTATTTGAGAATGGCATCTGCTGTGATGTACAAAGGGTTATATGAGTCATATTCAGGCAAGTCACAATTGTCTACTGGTAGCTCGAATGTCCAATACCCCCTGCCATCTGTTAGGAGAACTGGTTTAAAATATCTCCCATGAGTTTTATGAATACGTATGAAATGATCAAGAAATACTTTCTTTCCCTTTATCTAAAATCTTGTTCTGCCAAAAAAAAAAAAAAGGAAAAAAATGCAATCATTGAAGTGGTTTGGGTGGTATGTCAGTCACACAGAGCAGAGGCTCATTGCAGATTCAACAGACAAACTGAACCCAGTCCCAGCGAGAAAAATGACTGAAGGACAAAGGCTGTACTCTCCCCACATCTTCACGCACTCCCCTCTCCCTCCACTTTCTCAGAGATTGTAGGATTCCACACATCAAATTTCCTGACTTCCCCATTTTCAAAGYGTGTCCACTTAAACTAATGATAGCGCAGCAGAGGTCACGAGACAGTGGTGGCCAGACTCTGGTTTCAACTTCATCAGAGCGTTCAGATCTATCGAAAGSTGCTGTTGAGGGATGTTGAGAACAGACAAAGTTCATCAAAATGTGACACGACACAAAGCTGCGCAGAATTAGGGGACATGGTGAAACTATTTTGTGACATCTCAAATCCCCTGTCCTTCTTTGTTCTCTCCTCCTCTGATCTTTATGTCTTTTTCTCCCCCTGCTGTCTCGTCTCTCCCTGTGTATTCCTTCAGAGTCTTCACTTTGAACCTAACAGCAATAACCTGCCAGGAAAGTTACAAATGATACAAATGAATTATGCAAACCGCCGAGAAATAAAGCAGCGAGAAGTGTGGAGTTTTGCCCTTTATTTCATAATTCATCAGGCGACCAAATCAAGCCAAATAAAAGTTGAGTGATTAAGGAGTGAACGTTTTGGCTGAAAGGCTTTTGTAAATTTGCTCTAGAATATCAGTAACATTTTGTCTACCTCACATATGAATAAAACAAACACACATATACCCACATTATGTACAAATGAACAAACTTTCTTCCCTTTTTTATTTTATTGCTCATCAAATAATAGTGTCTTCTCATTTCAACAGCAACGGTTAGAAGTAGTAAAGCAAAGGATGTTACACCAGCACCACCAACTGGTCAAAGAGAAAACAACAAGTTTTGGATGCTTTTTTCTTTCTTTTATTTCCACTTTGAAGTATAAAGTTGAAGCTGAGAAAATCAGATTAAGAAAGCCTTACTATGCTTCTTTGGTGGCTTTATTTATCTTAGTGAATGTGGCCAAAGAGCGTGCACCGCACAGAAAAGGGTTAGATAGTTTGGAGGCGGCGCAGCATAATCATCTCAATCTCTGGCTCTGCTTGTGTTTTATCCACGTGGACAACCATTGTCCATCTGATTGATGTCTTTGCAGCAGATGCCCTTCAACAACCCCACACTCTCTCTGTGTCAGACCACCTGTCTATCTCTGTGTTACATCTCCCACCATTCATCTTTCATGTTATTTTCTTCTTCTTCTTCTCCCCTTGCCCCTAACTGTCTCACAATCTCTTTGTTTCTATCTCCATATTGATTTGGCCTGTCTCACTCTGAAGGCATTCTCAATCTTTGGTCATTTTTTTTCCTTCGTCTTCTTTCAGAAAGGTAAGATGTGATGGCAGAAAATGGAAAGGGGAGAGTTTGTTTACGAGTTGCTGACAGCCGTAAAACACTGTGGTGCTTTCAAGCTCCCAGACAGCGCCCAGTGAGTGAAATAAAAGCAACTTAAGGTGAAAAGAAAATCAATTTTAAAAGTGCTTTTACTTACAAACGAAAATGTGCTACCAGTGCTCCTAATTTAGCAAATAAAATTTAAAGTTGTTGTGGGGGTTTTTATTGTGTAGAAATTTTCAACTGAGCTGAAAAAATGACAGCCACCTGCTGAGATGCAGAGCTTTTCACAGGAAGCAGAATAGATGAATTTGAGTACTGAATTTAAAAAAAAATCTCTGAAAATTTTTGTCCATGGATCGCATGCTGATGCGCCATGACCTTCAAGGACTTTCCTCTCTTTTACACTGCAATTAAGCACTACCCTATTGGTAAATTGAAAAAGAGACAAAAATCCTCTGTGGATTTAATAACAAACTCATTACGAGGGCCCAACAGGGCGGAACTGGCTTTTAATTAGAGCAACACCTGATTAACGCCCAATTAACAGAGCCAGAGCCACTTAATTCTCTCCACTTTGGCAGGTTGAGAATGTAAACATAAACAGTCAGCATCTGAGTGCTTCCTTTCCTCCTGGGAAGGTGTGAGAGAAAAGTAAATAATGAATTTGGAGTCAAGCTGTTGTCTGGTGGTCCAAATACTCGACAGTTCTGGGATCTGAATGTCTTGGATGCGTGAGGTAAGTGCTTCAGAAAGGAAACAGATGCAGGGCTGGCTGGCAAAAAATAAAAAAAAAATGCTTCAGCACACATGCAAGTCCTGGCGGGCTGGTGGACAACTGTGCAAACAGTGAAGAATCGTGTTCAGCCAGAAAACATGAGCTCTTGCTCTTCCCTATTCCCAGTTTAGGGCAAAGTTTTGGTTTTTAAGACAGAAACTCGTTTAAAAATTCAGAGTTTTAGTTTATTAAACAGCTGACTTTGCCACTAGAGCAATCTAACTTTTGTTGAATATAAACGTAACAGGTCTAGACATGTATTCAAGCTAGTTTCCTTTAGTTTTTACCCTTTTTTTAAGAGTAAAACAGTAGAGAGTGATTTTCTTTGCATCATAGTGTCTTGCGCGAAACAAGTTTGCCTTGACGAGAGTTAGTAGGCAGATTTTTTTGCATTTATTGTTAAAGTGTTGCTGTGTTTAAAACTGCTCTTTTTGGCTCCAATAAGAATCTTTTGTATCTGGTCCAAAAGCAACACCGCTGACCTGCAATCCAGCTGCAATCGCTGAAATTACTCAGATCTGAGAAAGTGTCTTCAAGAGCACCTGGAAAACTGTGAAACGCTTTGATGAAACTTGTTCTCATGAGACAGAAAGAAGCAAAGAAAGACCGTACGTTTACGGCCTCTCCGATGCTGAGAGGTTCTGCAAGTTTTCTAAATAAAACGACCACAATGAAAAAAAATCCAAACCAGACATTCACACTGCAGTTTTAGTTTTCTTTATTATCAATAAAAACAACTATTCAGTTTTTTTCCCTCTTTTATAAAAAGAATCAGTGCAGTGTATTTACAGTGTTACATTGTTCATGTGCTCTTTATAACAAAGTTATAAAATAGTTTAATAAAGTTTCACATTTGGTTAAACATGTTGAAGTTTCGCAAGTCTTAACAAAACAGTTCCGCTTTCAAATTTATCAAGTAACAAGAAACTTTCAAGTGAAGAGCCTGACTGAGTAAAAGTGTTTTGTTTACATTTTTTCCCAGCTAAAGGCCCACAAACACATTGGGATTTGTTTCAGGCAGGTAAGCAAAACTGAACAAAATCCTCCTGAACATCAGTACTTTCCAGTCTTTAATTTAATGTCCAGGTTTTTCAGTAAAAAATACTCTTCCTTAGTGTTTTTTTAAGTCAGTGATAAAGACAAGGTGAAGTACTCGTCAGCCCTGCAGGTGATGGATGTGTTTGGTCCCGTCGACTGATAAAATTCAGATAATCATAATGAGTCTCTGTGTTTCAAACATCACGCCCTTATTTATGAGCTTCCTTCAAAACACTGAATATGTCCCTCTTTGGAGCTATGTTGCTTTTGCCGAGAGCAGGCTTGTACTCATCGCTGAAAAGCCTTTTAGCAGAAGAAATCCGCCACTCCTCCACAGCAATCTCCAAGTCAGGTATGATGTCCGGCACGACAGCTTGTTCGGCGATAAAAACGAACGACTCCACGACCAGCAGCAGGATCCAGCCTACGGCTCCCAGCCAGTAAGAGGATCCAAGGCTGGTAAAGTCCTGACGAATATCCTCCTGATGCTGATAGGTGAAAAGGGACCAGCTTAGGAGGAAGAAGAAACCTGTGGACAAAGTGAAAGCAATAGTTAAATCATTGGTGAAAGAATAAGTCATCAAGTTCAAAGAGTGCATGCTCCAAACTCCTGAAGGGTTAACTGGGTGTGGGCATTCTTTACTTTTAAAACAAGGATACTATTGTTAATAAGTAACATTATTAGTATGTGTGAAGCTACACAAATCCTTCACATATTTAGCTGTGTTCCGTACCTGTGGAGGCCATGGTGAGCAGCAGCAGGGTGGTTGGGTAGAGGGCCTGTTTGGCCATGAGGAGAGAGCGCGTGTTGGAGTAGGACCGCACCGTCTGGAACCTCCAGCAGAGGGCGAACACCAGGCAGAGAGCTCCAGTGCTCACAGCCATCAGGAAGGAAATAACACCAAAGACTCTCTCTGCTTCCAGAGCTGGAAGACACACAACAAATACATTTTCACTTATAGTGTATTTGCACTGTAAATACATAATTATAACAATGAATGAAACGATCAGCGCACTGGGGGGAAAAACTGTAAAAAGAGACTTTTCGATCCTGAACAATAATTTTGATTGGGAGTCACTTTTTTGCTGATGACAACCTGAAGTGGCACAACCAGTTCAGCCTTTTTAAGTGTTTATGGGCAACAACAATGATCATTACACCACCTGTATGAGGTGTAGTTAATGTGTCGCTAAATCAACAGACAGTTAACGAACAGCAGAAGTTCTATACATCCTTGATCCACTATACTGATAACAATTTATTGATAACTTTTTTTTCAAAGTATAATGTGTTTTTTTTTAATGCTTTTCATTTCATTTTCATATATTATACATCCATCTATTTTATCACTAAAATTACCAGGCAGTGAAAAAACACCTAAACAAGACAGAGAGTCACACTTAACCTAATTCAAATTGTAAAACTGTTCTTTGATCCAATTAAAATGTTATCATTTTCTTTGCAAATCATTTGATCTTAGTTAAGCAATCTAAAGCTACTATCAGGAATCACAAATGCCCTATTACATGATGGGATTAAGGGTAGCCGCATTGAATGCATATTAGATTGAAATTACTCGTCCAGCAGAAATTCTCCTGATGCTGAGAACAGATTAGTTAAGTTTTAGCAAAACTAATTCTTGTATTTCAATGACATCTGTTGCAGTCTTTTTTTTTTAGGGTGCCGGGGCTGAGATTTTTTTCCCCCTGTTCTTACTATCAACAATTTGTTGAAAAGTTGCTTTTTGGAGAGAATATAATAAAGTGTTTAAAACATGTTAGTATAAACAAATCACAAAAAATTGTGAAATAAAAAGTGTTAACAAACAGATGACAAAAAAGCTGAATTTCTTCAGTTATCATTTGTTCCATATTTTACATTGTATTTTATTCGTTCTGACCTAATTTAAAAAAAATTTAAACACATTTTTTTCTTTAAGTAATTTTAAGATTTGGCATGCTGTTATACGTTTTAAGAGATTTGCGAACTACTGCATTCTGTTTTAACGAAGGTACTAGTTARGACTTTGTTGAAATTTGTAAAGATGAGTTCATACAAAAACAAGCTTCAACACACCTGTCCTCTTGCCTAACAGTGTCAGCAGATGCAAAGAATGCAATCCTCTGACACGGGAGCAAGTTCCAACTTGTTTACCACTGCTCWGAAGTTTTATCCCCTGTTTTCTCTTCATATTGATTCCTGCTAGACTTTTAGGAAAACAAAATAAATTTCCCAAAGGCTGCTTACCAGCAGGACTAGTGCCTTATCAAATCAGCACAGCAAAGACTTACATCTGCCTCATTAAATAGTTTTATTCACTTAGTCCTTTCACCTAACCCACAGTGACAGCTATCGACAGATGGCAAATTCGATTTGTTGACTCAAGAAAGCTGTCYGAGAGGTAAACACTGCTTTTTACTCACCATTGAAAACATTGTCTTTGCTATTAGTCTGGTCGCTTGTGTCCTCGTTCCATGTCGCCCACAGCCCCTTCTGYTTCAGCCAGAAGGGTGTCCAGACAGCATAGTTCACACAGAGGCAGCCTACTAATCCCAAACAAGACTGGGCAAACCTGAAGCGACCAATGGAGTCTCCCAGATCAAGAAGTTTCATTTCTACACCACTGAAAGGAAAACACAAGGAACAACGTRATGTGCTGAGGCTGAAATACAAAAAAAGAGAAACTTTCATTTACAGCAGATTTTAAAAAATATCTTACCTGTCATTGATGWCTGAGGCAAAGACGTGAAGCAGCGTCCCGATCTCAGTCTGTGTGCAAAATAAATGGCTGCTTGGATTTGCCACTGTATCAAAGCCACAGTGCAAACACTTTCAACGTAGTGTTTCTTCCACCACATGTGACCACAGGCCCTTGCTCACAAATCAGGCCCCTTCATGTAACTCCGCCTCTGCAGCAGTGGAAACTCCCCCCCGCCTGCCATCACACCCAGTGGAGAAATTTCCCCYTGAACTCTCCACTGCGACTGTACAGAAAGTGAAAGCTGCATCAASTCTTATTACGATTTTACAGAAGCAGAAGTTCACGTGTTCCCGATAAATATGGACCAACAAGTCAAAAAAAAAAAAATAGAACTGAAAGGGAAGTTAGGAGGTGCAAACTCTTGTAATGGACAAGAAACARGATCCAATCATTCCTCCTTTTTGGGTTGCAGGGAAGCTGGTGCCTGTCTCCAGCAGTCYTTATATAAGAGGAGGGGGAGACACTGGACAGATCCCAAGACTATCACAYGCAGACAAACTTAAATTCTCACTGACAATCTAGAGCTACCAGTTAACTCAACGTGTTTTTGGTCTGGAGGACGAAACAGGAGTTGAGAAACATCATAAAGCAGCAAAACAACWCTCTTGGCATTTACTTGAATATCACAGAAAGTGTGTGGAAGTGGGGGTTTGTTTTCAGGTCATWATGCATGACAACACAAAGGAAATCTCACTCWCWSTGTCTGACTGTGGACAGTGTGTGAGGGTGTAATCAACCTCACGTCTCCCCGATTCGTCATAACTACCACCCGCTGCAGTTTCCTTTGTTGCAACGGAACAGCACCCACAGACCACCCAAACGAAAGTTTTCTATATATATATAAACATTCACACTAATAATCTGACGGCAGCAGCTTCCTACACAGCAGYCATCCCGAGTAAAAACATAAGTCTGTAAACCTAGAAGAGACATGTCATGCTTTTAAATTCTTTTTCACATTTAAATCGTTCAGTTAGAATGATAAAGTGGAACTACAATGATACAGTAACAACACAAGCCCCTCTTTCACCCCTTTTCTGATGTGTCTCAGATCAACTCGTTGAATGTGTTGAAAAATATGATCCAAACAGAATATAATATATCTARACAGCARTGGGAGAAACTAAATTCAACTTTTCTGCACTCACAGAGACAACAAAATGCATTTAACAGCTAAAAAAGTGGATTTTGCATGGTTCATCCCCTTTAAAGTAAATGATAATACAGCAATGACATAAATTGACTCTTTATTCACAGATCAGTAAATACACAGAAAATAATCAAATAAAAGGAACTGCGTACATGAAAAATAATACAGACGGKTAATATCTGAGTGGAACTGAACTTGGTTGAATTACTTTTGGCATTCAGTTTGAATTTGAGGAACATACAATATGTCATGTAGATTACAAAAAACAATGTTTTCCTCACTCGTAGGTTCACAGTAAGGCCTCAAAATTCATTTGAAACTATTTTATACCCTGACCTTTAAATGTTTTTTTTTTCATTCTTTACCAAAAACTCTAATGAGTCACGGTTTTGTGCAATATTTGTGTCTGTTTTTTAATCATACGAGAGGACATTTTGTCGGCTACATTTGTGCTTTTTAAAAAAATCCCCCAGCTTACTTTCTGGCTCTTTGCAGCAGGGCCTTGAACACGTCGAGAATCTCCGGGTCCTCGCCGGCAGACAGCTCTGGAGTGTTTTTCTCCAGCCAATCAGACGAACGGATCTGATGCCTGAGAGTTCCGATAAGCGAGTCCAYGTCCTCGGGGGGCTCCGACGCTTGGCAGTCCAGCAAAACAAGCTCTTCGGCAGCAATGGAGCCTGGGTCAGGAGCGGGGCTATCCCTCGCCTTCAGCTGCTCTGATGACTGGCTGTGGGGTGATGATGTCGTATTGACAATCACAGCCTTGTCTGGTTCGGCACGCTCCWCTTTTACTGAGCTTTGGCTCATGTCAGCAGTCCTTTTGATAGGGCCTGTATCAGCGCTGGCACTTTTCTCTTCAGCTTCTTTCAAAGCCTCCCGAATTCGCTTTAGGCCTGAAATAACACAGAACATGATTAATAGCTGCTCAAATGTGTTTTAAAATGACACGAAAAGGTCTTTTTAATAAACAGTTTAGGATGAAAAGATAAWAAATTGAAAAACATTACTCAAGCTGAAAAGGCAACTCATCCGATCGAGGTTGATTTACATAGAGTGATTAAAAAAAGTTCATGAGAGTTTGGTAGAGATTAAAGAAGTTGTGGTCCAWTATTATCTTGATTGTGGCAGAAACTTTAATATGGGCAGAAAAAATCAGGAAGCACTCACGAGGAAAATACAACCTCATGAATGCTCAGCACAGAATCAGATTGTATTTACACCAGGTGACACAATTTCAGGGGAAACTGCAGTGGGATTGCTGAAACTACCCATCACATGTCCCTTGCTAACTGCTGTAAATATTTAAAAGGAATCAATCAAAGTGAGTAAATAACACAGTGATGAGAGAAGCTGCAGATGATGCCTGGTGACGATTGTACCTAAAACAAAACATTTCATCAAAGCTTTATCACAAAATAGTTKAACTAAAAACAAATTGCAAAATCATTTCTCCTGGATATTCACTTATGTAGCCACTGAATATCTTATATTTATTCTGCATATTTTATGTATTGTTGTATTTTAGTGAATTGTTCTTGTTGTGCTATATGGCTTTTTATTCTTTTTAAACATGTTACGTGATATGGTTTTAGCTTTTTTTTTTAATCGCAGAATCTTGTTAATTTGTATGTACTGCATTTTTATCTATGGTACCCTGAGAGAATAAAGATGAAAACTATTTACTGTAATGTGCACTGTCTCTAATGGAATAAACAGCAATGATAAAGTTTTTCCTATCTTGGCCAGGACTCCATTCAAAAAGATGTTTTTTTTTAACCTCAATGGGATTTTTTTACCTATTAAAATAAAGGT